GATGTCCAATTTTTTCTGCTGATTTTTTTTCTTTTGATTTTTATACCCTACAACACTATGTGTTGGGGGTATTATAAGTTTGATTGGGCCAGAATTTATGTAACACCTCGAAATATTGGTTTCCCAGATAGGAAAGTATACATGGATCTTCCTAGCTCGCCGAGCTGAGTCGATCTAGCTATGTATGTCCGTCCGTCCGTCTGTCCGTCTGTCCGTTTGTCCATGTTAATTTGTAATCACTCTACAGGTCGCAATTATGGCCCGCTCTTCACGAAATTTAGAACAGAGGTGGGGTTAGGGTCAGAATAGAACCCTATTTCTTTTGAAGATGATCGCATAATTTTTAGGGGTTGAAATGGACCAAATACTAAAAAAATTTCGGATTTTGCAGTAGCTGTAGAGGTCGCAATTATAGACCAATCGACGCGGAATTTCGCATGTAGCTAGAGTTTAGGGCGGGGAAGAAGCCTACCAATTTTGATGGTCATCGGATAATATTTAGCGGGTAAAATAGACCATATCTTTTTTGTTGAAAAAATTCAAAATTTTTCATTCAACCGCGAATATTTTAAATCCCGGCGAAATCACAAAGTCATGACAAGGTTACTTCTGAACTTTACATTGATGTTAACATACAACAAATCGGATATATAGCAAAATATATGCGATAGATATATCTATCAAAGAAGATATGCTTGAAAGATCTCATATATGTCGAGAACGGCTGAACTGATTTCTGCAGTTCTCATTAATTCAGAATGGCCTCTTGGCTGAAAAGGAAAAACGTCTAAAAAACGCATACAAATATCTCTCTAAACATAAAAATATTGATTTTGTAACATGTTCTCATATTTTTTCCATTTTGTCATATTTTTGGCATATTTTCATTTTGAATTAAACATTTGGTAATATTTCTACAGCTAACAAAACTAAGTAGTTAGGATATCAGGATATCATATACAGATCGCATTCATGGTCCGATCCTTACGAAATTTTGCATGGGGATAAGATGAGGGTCAGAATAGAAGCCTACTCTTTTTGGAGATGATCGCAATATATTTAGGGGTTGAAATGGGCCAAAAAACTGCAAAATTGTCAACAGGTCGTAATTATCGCCCGATCCTCACACACATTTGAATGGGGGTTACCGGAAATTGCAAAAGCCAAGCAGTTTTGGATGGCCATCCAAAAATATTCAATGTGTAAAGGAGTTTGCCAACTTTTGTAGACAAAATGCGAAAATGTCCATTCCAGTGACTTTTTGGAGAATTCACAAATACAGGAAAGACACACTTCTGACTATTTCATTAAGGCTGATTTCGTTGAAGAATATAGTCAAATTTCTGTATCTCATATAGATGCGTTTCAGTCAAAAACCAATAATAAATGTTAATCTTTTGCCACTTCTGAGATGTTATAGGTCTTTGGGAAATATTGGTTCCAGATCTAGGAAGACCATTTACCAATAAATTGGAAATGAGCAAATTAGTTTAAGTTGCTATTATTCGAAAATTAGAGAACGAAACCTGATTGTTTTCTTTTATTATTTGTCACAATATCTTGTGGAATTCTTTCGAGTATCTCGCCTATATAAACTGTATCGTTTATTATAGTGTTGTAGGGTATTCAAGGGTCGGCCCCGCTCGACTGTAGCTTTTGCTTACTTGTTTATTTATGATTTTTGTACAAAATTGTAGAACAAAATCATATTTTTTTCCGAATTTCGGATCAAACATCCGACACGTTTCCAAATTTCTTATCAAATGTCACATATTTCTCCGCTTATCGGATAGAACTTTGGTAAAAAAATGAAAAATTTGCAAATTTCGTATCAAACATGCAAAAAATCTTCCGAATTTCCTTTTTTCTTTTGCGATATCTAATTTAATTCGCCACGAAACTCTTGCTCTTTCCGATTTTTTTTTCGAAAAATCTTTCTTTTCTGGAACTGAACTACATACTATGTTCCTATGTTATTAAAGCCCCAATCGCATACCCTAAATAAGATAACTTCCAGAAAATCTCTTATTCACCTAAAATTCTTTTTTTTTTCTTTGTTCACATTATGTATACCTTTCCGGTAAAAAATTAGAATATTGTCAAGCATACCTCAAATCTATAATGAAGCGTTTTTCTACTATTTGTCCCGCTACAGACGGATAAAATGCCCCACCAACTGCCATTCCTAATATTTGTTGAAGTAATTTTCTAATTAAAACAATAACAATAATTTTAACAATTAACCCATTTTTAATGAAAAATATCAAATTTCAACAATTATCATTATGTCATTATTTACTACCAAAAATTCTACATTTTTTTCTCCCAAACATTATTTCACATTTCACACATCTGTTGCAAAAAAGAGGTTTGGTTGTTGCTAGGCATAGTGGAGTTTGTTGCACAAATAGGGGTTGTTTTTGTGTGCCTTTGTTTTATGTGGAGATACAAAAAAAATAAAAACAAAAAATAAAAAACAACTGACAGCGGTGGGATTCGAACCCACGCCCTTTCGGACTGGTGCCTAAAACCAGCGCCTTAGACCACTCGGCCACGCTGCCCATACTGGTTGGTCGACAAACAAAATATTTAAACAAACTTGTGAATATTTTAAATAACTCGTTGCTTGATCATAAGATCGAATTACTTATTAATCTTCTTTTGCTATTCTAAATTTTCAATAGCTTGCAAGCAAGCTATGCTGATAGCATTGTCGACTGTGGCGATTGAATGATGTTTGTGTGTGGAAAAAGACACTGTGTTGGGGGATTTTTTGAGTTTGCTGGTATAAATAAATATTTTAATATCATGACGGCTTTCTCTTATACAAATGCTACATACATACATATATACATGTTTTTGCAAATAAAAGAGAGGAATAATTTCAGCTAAATGAGAAGAGTAGGTTTATAGGTGTGAATATGTACATGAATTGTAATTCCACAGTATCTTAGTGAATTTTCTTTACAAAGGCTGCTCATTATAGAGTGAGAGAAATCAAGGTAATTATTGGGTGTACATACCGCAACATAAACTCTAACAGGAAAAACTCAGTAGATTACGAAAGTAGAACTAAAAATTGTTTTTTTCTGTATTGGTTTTTTGGTAGAGCAAGATCCCACATCTTCCACATTTTTTGATAGTTTTGGATTTCTTGGAATTCTTGCTTTTTAGGTATATAGAGTGTTCGGTAATATTTCTAATAACAATACGACAATAATTTTTGTCGAACATTTTAATCCTTAAGCACGTCACCAAAGTATTGGTTTCTTCCCCAAGCAATAGTTAAAAACGTCGCAATATTCTACTAAATTTTTTATACAAATAAACAAAAGGTCTAGACGCCAGGAATTTATATACAGGGTGAGATAAAAAACTGCAACAAAGTCAGACACCATAATTTTTAAATTTTTTTAATTTATTGAATGAAGGCAAAAAATGTTGGAAATAGCATCAAATTTAAGAATAAGTTTAGATTTGTTCGAATTGGTCACCTTTGGCACGAATTATGGCCTTCAAACGGCCACTGAAGCCGTCACACGCTGCCCGAATGTTGCGGTATTTTGGCCTATTCCCGGCGAAGCGCTTGCTTAAAGGTTATCGACAGTTTGGTATTTTTTAGTGTCAACCTTGCTTTCCAAAATATTCCAGAGTCCTGTTGCTGAGTCCTGTTGGAATGTCCAAGGTCTGCGGCCAAAATGTTTGCGTGTCCAAGGCTTTAAAACACCCTCCAGAATATTTACGCGATAATATTCGGCATTTATTCTTATTCCACGGTCGATGAATACGAGCGGAGAGCGACCATCGGCTGTTATGGCGGCCCACACCATCACCCTGGCCGGCGCTTGAGTTCTGGTGGCCAACCGAAAGTGCTCATTTTCAGCTAACCTCATTGGCAAACTGCTGGACAACGAAAACCTAATTCGGAAATTCACCACTTTCGGCCAAGCGAAGCAACTCTTTAGCTCTTTTGAGCCTATTTTTTTCTGTTGCGGTATAAGTTCTTGCACATTTTGGAATTTCAGTGGCTTTACCCCGAGCTCATTTTTCAATATTTGCCGAATGGAATATTGCGATATGTTCAGCTCACAAGCCATTTTTCGGTCACTGCGACGCGGGTTTCGATCAAGTCGCTTCTTTACATTTGGAACCATTTGGAACCATTTCTGCTGATGTTGCTGTTTTTTTCGTTCATTTCCTTGACGATGGGCTACCCTACCAGTATCTAAAGAGTAAAAGATTTAATCACATTTAACGATAGCCGCTTGTGGTTTTCCAGCCAAATATAAAGAAATCACACTATCACGCTTAAATTCCATCACGAATAACTTTTTTTCTGGAAAATTCTCACTAAAATGCTTTTGCACGCTTGTAAGCAATATAATAAGCTATCACTGGAATAATTTTAACAGCTGTCGGACGAGTGAAATTTCACCAGTCTGAAGTTGGTTGCAGTTTTTTCATCTCACCCTGTAGTGTTATGAATTTAAAATTCCGAATTCCAGTCAATTCCAAGGCGAAATCTGTATGAAATAAAGTTTATAGTAACATAACGCGGCGATTTTTGTACAAATTTATATTCGCGTTTTGTAGCTTCATGGAATATGTATCATTTTCGCCAGGAATGTGTGTCACGAAATTAAAATCGATCTAGTGTTAGCTCTTCATCAAATGGAAATTCAAAACGACTCTAAAGTTGGTGAATTATCAAATTTTTTGATGAGTTTAAAATAATATTTTACATTGATGTATTGTAATAAAATTTCAGAAATCAGCACATAATGTGGCGATAATACATTCACGCTCAATTAAAGAGGAAATCCTCTCGTGAACCCGGTGGGATGATAAGAATAATAATTAATTTAATAAGATTTCATTAAAAAATGTAATAAATACACTTTATTGATGGGTTTAAGACTTCAGTTGATATTTAACTTCCAGTGATGTCTTAATCCCAATATCTCTTACAGAGAGAGGAAAAGTTGTGCCTTCATCTTCTTCTTAAAAAAAAATAAATAAATAAATAAATAAATAAAAATAAAATAAATAAGTAAATAAATATATAAAAAAATAATATAAAATGGGACATTACATTTTAAATATTTTATTTACGGTACTATTGGTGAATTGTTGCTTTGGTCGCAGAATAGGGACCCGTAACTTATGTCGCAAAGGCGTTGAAAGATGTACAAATAATTTTCCAACAATAGACCATAATAGTATTTTGGAAAATAGTCTAATTAATTTTCAGCAAAATATAACATTGAGACCAAGAATTCTGGGTGGCAGAAATGCCAAATTAGGAGAATCTCCATGGTTGGTAAATTTGGAATATCGAACACGTAAGTAAAATCTTTTCGGAAATTCATCAACTTAACTTAAGGATTTATTTTCTTTTTTCAGCGGAAAATAAACTATCCTTGTTGTGTGCTGGTAGCGTTATTAATCATCGATATATACTGACGGCTGCTCATTGTATCAGAGGTGAAATAGAGAAATTTGGGCAATTGTAAGTTATCCGATACATGGTTAAGTAATATTTATGTATACTTTCAAAATATACCACATCGAAAAAAGGGCACTATGTCCCTTGAAAAAATGTTTGTTATATACATATTTACAAATTTTAGGATATCGATTCGTGCTGGGGAATATGATTTAGCGTTATTAATCATCGATATATACTGACGGCTGCTCATTGTATCAGAGGTGAAATAGAGAAATTTGGGCAATTGTAAGTTATCCGATACATGGTTAAGTAATATTTATGTATACTTTCAAAATATACCACATCGAAAAAAGGGCACTATGTCCCTTGAAAAAATGTTTGTTATATACATATTTACAAATTTTAGGATATCGATTCGTGCTGGGGAATATGATTTGCAAAGCGAAATTGATTGCGATGAGAAAATCTGTCTTGATCCATTCCAACGTTTTAATATTGCTGAATATAAAATTCATCCTGAATTTTATACCGACAAGGATAAAAGAAATTATAATGATTTAGCTTTGATAAAAGTTGATCGAGATATTATGTATTCCAACTCGATTCCAGCTGTAGCTATGCCCACGATCAAATTTCCTCATCTGTCACCTGGAACACTTTTAACCGTCAGTGGTTGGGGAGCTGGCTATTGGAAGGGTGATTGGAGTAAGTTTTATTAATTTGTTTTTTTTTTTGCTCTATAAAATAGTTGACGTAAAAAATTTGTTCTCCTAGGTGCTTTAATACCCGTTAAACAAGTGGTTCATGTCCCCTATGTGACAAATGAAAAATGTGTACTGGCCAACAGCGTTCATCATCTGTGTGCTGGGGAATATATGAAAGATAGTTGCTACGGTGACTCGGGTGGTCCATTGATTCGTAGTTTGCATAATACCCAATACGTTGTGGGTATTGTTTCGTATGGCACAACTTGTGGTTCGGAAAAACCAGCTGTTTATACTCGAGTTTCATCGTTCATTGAGTGGATTAGAGAAAATAGTGAAATATAGTATATTATTAAAATATGTTTTAAAATTATAAAAAAATTGTTTTTGATTTTATCTAAGAAATAGTACTGAAGAATATAAAAAAGTCCTTAGTTCGGTGAAATTCAACCACAAAAGTTATCAAGTCATTTTCAACGAAATTAGTTTCAGGCCATTTGGCTGTAAAATAAACAAAACCAAATTTTGCATTTTTAAAAGTCTATTTGACACAATAATAATTCAGTACGAAGTTGAATTTTTTCTTAGTTTCTTTGAATTTGAATAACCTTTCTTGTAGAGTTATGCTCGTAGAGTTATTTGGTACATCGTAGTATTTGTTTCTGGCATAGATTTTGATTTTGAATAATCGTCAATCTCATGAAATGCAACATATGATTATAGTTAATAGGATGCAGGAATGTAATGCAGATCGATTTTTGGTATACCAAATTCTTAAGAGTTAATTATATTTGTCTATGTTGTCCTTTAGAAAAATATTCTTAAAATCCTTAAAAGATCCATTAAAAATATGTAAGCAAAGGCTATAGCGGTACGGGGCCGACGTGTAAGGCCCCTTACGCACAAATCCATTTTGGAAGATTTCGTTTTTGGAATGATATCATAGTGCCCTGTCCAGATGTTACCCATAGCTTTTTGACCTGGGTCATTTGCCCTGTTTTTGCGATCTTTGTTGAGTTGATAGGTATTCAAATCCAGAATTTCCTTGCAATATATTGAAGAAAATGATACTTGGCCAGATAGTCCTACGGAAAATACAGTATTTATTACCAGGAATATCTCCAAGAATATTGTTAAAAAAATAAGCATAAAAATAGGCTTAAAATATTTACAAAATTTTGATGGAAGTTTTTGTTTTAAAAGAGAATCACAAAAAGTGGAAAAGTATTCTTAAAATTTCACTTTTCATATGAGGAGGCCCTATAATATTTTTAAAAATGTTTAACCGAAAAATATTTCAAAATGTTTTAAGAAAATCTTAAAAAAAGCCAGCTCTATTTGTCAATGTCTACCATGAATAACATATTCCTTAAATATCCATAATTTTTATAGGCCGGGAATTCTTAAAAATCTAATATTTTTGGAAAGAATGTCTTTCAAAAATACATACACAATATCCACAATTTACATAGACCAAAAAACCTTGAATGTTATTCTTAAAATTATACACGATTTTGGTTTGGAATGACCTTGTAAAAGTCCCTAAAATATATTTCAATTTTTTTTTTACCCACCATCTGTAAAATTGCTCAAACATATTTTTCTAAAAAACCATTAAACCTGGCCCAAACTTTTTTAAAACATTTTCTTTTTTATGATTAAAATTTAAAATTTGTAACATATTAAAAATAAGATAATTGTTTACCGGGAAGTGTAAAAAAAGATTTTTAATGAAAAAATCTTAGAAAATCGTAATTGGAGGTTGTTTGTTTAAAAATCATAAAAATCCATTATATTTGTCCACGACAGCATTGTTGTATTATTATGACAGATTAATACAGAGTGAGATGAAAAAACTGCAACCAACTTCAAACTTGTTATTGTTATTTCCAAGCAACTCGTCCGACAGCTGTTATAATTATTCCAGTGACAGCTCATTATATTGATAAATCGTTTGTGTCTCGTACCATCGCTCGTTAACGTGCTACTGGTAGCGTAGCCCAAGATCAAGGAAGTGGACAAAAGAAAACAGCAACTTTAGCAGAAATGGTTCGAAAAGTAAAGAAGCGACTTGATCGAAACCCGCGTCGCAGTGGCCGAAAATGGCTCGTGAGCTGAACATATCACAATATTCCATTCGGCAAATATTGAAAAATGAGATCGGGGTAAAGCCATTGAAATTCCAAAAAGTGCAAGAACTTACACCGCAACAGAAAAAAAGAGACTCAAAAGAGGTAACGAGTTGTTTCGCTTGGCAGAAAGTGGTAAACTGCCGAATTTGGTTTTCTCCGATGAGCAAACATTCGTTGTCCAGCAGTTTGTAAACAAACAAAATGATCGTAGTTACTTGCCAAAGAGCTCAGATGAGCATGTGCACCTTCGGTTGGCCACCAGAACTCAAGCCCCGGCCATGGTGATGGTGTGGGCCGCCATAACAGCCGATGGTCGCTCTCCGCTCGTATTAATTGATTGTGGCATCAGAATAAATGCCGAATATAATCGGCACGCAAACATTTTGGCCGCAGACCTTGGACATTCCAACAGGACTCAGCACGCGCCACTCAAGAATGGTTACACAATTAAATTCCTCGCTTCATTTCCAGCACACAATGGCCACAAAAATCACGGGATACCAATCCGTTGGACTATTGTGTGTGGAGTATTTTGTAAAGCAAGGTTGGCACTAAAAAATACCACAGTGTCGATCACCTCAAGCAAGCGCTTCGCCGGGAATGGGCCAAAATACCGCAACATTCGGACAGCGTGTGACGGTTTCGTTGGCCGTTTGAAGCCCATAATTCGTGCCAATGGTGACCAACTCGAACAAATCAAAACTTATTTTAAAAGTTGATGCCATTTCCGACATTTTTTGCTCTCATTCATTTAAATTTAAAAAAAAGATGAAAAAATTATGGCGTTTGACTTTGTTGCAGTTTTTTTTTATCTCGCCCGTTCAAAATTTAAAAATCCATACTTTTTGAACAGCTATCCCTTGAAAAAAGGTTTTAAAAAATCCACGTTTTTTTGGTAAGGAAAACTGGTGAAATTTCCTAAAAAATATATCAAAAATATTTTCAAAATTTTCACTATTTATATATTGCCACGATGTCCTTGATATAAATTTATTTAAGACACACGAATATACAAATCTAGGAATTGGTCATGATCCCCGTTTTTTTTTTTTTTTTTTTTTTTTTTTTTTTGATATGTGACATCATCCGAGGGCAATATTAATATTATACCCTTCAACAATCTATATTTTAAACTGAGTTTTCAGTATCAAAATTTAGGTTTGCATTGGTAATTTATGTAAAATAAATCATGCCAATTGTGGTACTAAATATGTATCACGGCGCAAGAGCTATTTAAACTTGAAGTGTTGTTATAAATTGATTCCCTCCAATTTTATACACCATGTGTATTGTTTGTATTTCTTAGTTCAAAGTAACTCGTGATCGGTCGTGCATCCTTTGCATTAAATAGCAGCTAGCAGTGTTATCGAGGGCATTGTACAGATTTGGGATAAGGATAGTTAAACTGATTTTAAGTAAATTCTGCAGACTTAAATGTAGCATTAATTCAACTTATTTTAGGATTCACACAAAACACAGCATTCAATAGCTTACCATACGTTTAGTAAAATACCGTTTAGTGAAATTATATGAAAACCTAATAAGGTTTCTTTAAAAAACAGTCTCTTAAAGGCCTACCCTGTGTTAAACAAGTTTCCACAAATATGTATATTTTCCTCCATCCTTTAATACAATTCTACTTCAGTTTTCGTGGAACGTACAACTGGTCGTACGTCTAGTAGTACTTTTCAATAGTAGCAACTGTCAATTGTAACATTATCATGCATTGTTTTGTCACAAACAATTTTGTTGTTTCTCACCACATCTTATTGACTGATTCATAGAACATCTATTTATTACGTTTATATTATAATAGCATATATAAAAAAATATAACTATTTAAATGCAATGCTAGCTCAGTTAACGAGGGTTTGCCAACAAGATAACATCGCCATTCGTACTAAAAATCAATTACAATGAAATATAATTTCATAATATTATTAACATTTGCTTCATGGCAATATATCTCCTCGAACGTAATAACAATAAGAGGAGGTAGATAAAAAACAATTGAAATTAAAATAAAATATATTAATTTGTACTCACCTTTAGTTTCGAATTTATGCTACAATCCTCATGGACGTCTGGGAAGATGTTTAACCGTGGCGAAGTGTCTACGAGTGAAAGGCGACGTGAAAGATATTTTGAATTGGCCTTGTTACAATGGCCGTGGTTTACCACCTTACGTGTGTTGTACTTTTGGAAATAGCATTGTTTTTCCAGACGACGATGACGACGGCGAGGGTGATGCAAATGATTTTGGAAATAGTGGGATAATGCCATTTGGTTCTTCTAAATTTTTTCGAGATTTGGGACAACGAAACGGTGACAAAATTAAACAGATCAGCAGTGGTAGTGTTTCGATTGCAAGTGAAGATGGCAACACTGAAAATAGAAAAAATGAAACGGCACTGTTAATTAATGAAATTACGAGTGATGTATTTCCCCAGCCAGGTGTATGTGGCCCATTGATGGTGGACGATAAAATTCATGGCGGTTGGGAAGCACAGTTGGGTGAATTTCCATGGCTGGTAAATTTGGAATACCGAACTGGTAAGAAAATAAATAATGACCATTGGCATACAGTTTTGAATTGCATTGACAAATTTTCATATTGTGAAAAAATTACCATATGCTCAATATGGACACAGTAATGTTTTTAAAGAAACATAGGACCGAAAGATTAATACTCCTAACCGGGATATTTATTTCTATATAGAATCACTATCTAAATACCGTATGTCCGGGCGTTTGCCCGTCTCTTAATTTACTTTTGTTATCAAATTACATTTCGTACTTATTGTCCGATGGTGACAACGCTTTGATCAGTTAATTTGGTGGGCCTAAGGACGAATTCAATTGAAATTGGTGATAATTGCCTCAGATTTGGATATGGAACCCTTATGCATAATATATGACTAAATATAATAGACTTTAACACATACAACTGAATCGAAGTTTATAAATTTTGGTTTGGTTCAGTTCAGATATAGGAGTCGATCTGGCGGTGTCCATCCGCCTGGTTGGCTGGCTGGTGCGGGCGATTACTCCCGAAGGGAGTATTCGATCAAAATTGGTGCATCGTAATATTATCAAACTTCTGGTACTTCCCCCACAAAACGCTATATTTTCCAATAACATAATTTATCACATGAAAGAGAAAGGATCATATTGTTTTGTTTAAACTTTTCTAGTCTTAATATTTGCAACAGTACTAGGTTATGTGTGAAAAAGAACAATATTGGACCACTCCTTCTAGTCCTTCTAGATAATCCCTATAGTGTATCGCAGTAATTCTTAATAATCCCTATAGTATATCGCAGTAACTTTAGACCTAAGAAAGGATAGAACAGCTAACACTTTTTGGTACCTCCCTCAATATTAAAATTGAGGATTCCAGCTGTATATCTTTAACCAATACCAAATTTAGTACCATTTGTAAAATTTAGTAACATTTATCCAAAACAATATACAGGGTGAGATAAAAAAAATTGCAACAAAGTCAAACGCCATAATGGAAGCAAAAAATGTCGGAAATAACATCAAATTTTAGAATAAGTCTAAATTTGTTCGAATTGTGCAACTTTGGCACGAATTATGGTCTTCAAACGGCCAATGAAACCATCAAATGTTACTCTGCGGTATTTTGGCTTATTCCCGGCGAAGCGCTTGCTTGAGGTGATCGACACTTTGGCATTTTTTAGTGCCAACTTTGCTTTCCAAAATACTTCTGAAACAATAGTCCAACGGATTGGTATCCGAAGATTTTGGTGGCCATTATGAGCTGGAAATGAAGCGTTCCTCATTTTGTAACCATTCTTGGGTGGTGCGTGCTGAGAGCGATGGTGCTGAGCCGCCATAACAGAATAAATGCCGAATATTATGACGAAAATATTCTGGAAAATATTTTGGACGCAGACCTTGGACATTCAAGTCGCTTCTTTACTTTTCGAACCATTTCTGCTGATGTTGCTGTTTTCTTCCGCCCACTTCCTTGACCTTGGGCTATGCTACCAGTATCACGGTAACGAGCGATTGTACGAGACACAAAAGATTTATTCACATTTAAATGCTGGAGTACCCTAACGATAGCCACTTTTGGTTTTCCAGCCAAATATAAAGAAATCACACTATCACGCTTGAATTCCATCACGAATAACTTTTTTTCTGGAAAATTCTCACCTAAATGCTTTTGTAGGCTTGTAAACAATATAATAAGCTGTCACTTGAATAACTTTTACAGCTGTCGAACGAGTAGCTTAGAAATGACAGCAGTCTGAAGTTGGTTGCAGTTTTTCCATCTCACCCTGTATATCAAACCTACTTTCCCACCATGATTCTCATACCAAATTTCAAGTTTTTTGCTCTATCCTTTTACATAATACCACCCTTTGCTACTACTATCCTGTCTGGCTGGCTGGTGCGCACGATAACTCTCGAAGGGAGTATCCGATTTGATCCAAACTTGGTACATCGTAATATTTTTGTCAAACTTAGATCGAGTTCGGAAATGGGCAGTATCGGTCCACTCCTTCTGGAACCTCCCACACAAAATGTCAAAATTTTCAAAGAAAATAATTTATTGCACAGAAAGAGAAAGGATAATCCGATTTTGCTCGAACTTTGCGAATCCTAATATTTTCATAAGTGCCAGGTCAGGTGCGAAAATTGACAATATCGGTCCACTACATCAAGTACCTCCCCCCCAAAGGGTCAAAATTTTGAATAATTACAACTCCTAGGAACGATGTAAGAGTCCGATTGTCTTCAAATTTCACACATCCCAATAATTTTATTAACCCAAGGTCTGGTGTTAAGAGGGAATACATCGGTTTACTCCTTTTGGTACCTCCCCCACAAAAGGTCGAAATTTTCAAAAAATATATATAAAATATATTTTTTGCACAGAAAGAGAAGCGGTTACCCGATTTTGCTCTAACTTTGCAAATCCTAATATTTGCGTCAGTGCTAGGTCAGGTGCTAAAATGGTCCACTCCATCAAGTACCTCCCCCACAAAGGGTCAACATTTTGAATAAAATGTGATGTAAGGATCCGAACGTCTTTAAATTTCACACATTCCAATATTTTTGTAAACCCAGGATGTGCTGTTAACATTAAGATCCGATTCCATTTAGACTTGGCACATCTCAATATTTTTATCAACACAAGATCTGTTATAAAGGTGGTATAGATCGAACCATTTCTTCTGGTACCTCTCCCATACTTAGGGTTCAAGATTTTGAAAACAAAATACTCCAATAAAGCGAAATAAGCATCCAAATCTCTTCAAATTTCACACATAAAAAATTTTTTGCTAACACAAGATCTGTTATGAAGTTGATATATATCTGCGAACCCCTTCTGGTACCTCATCCACAAAGGGTCACAATTTTCAATAGTTTTATCTGTCATAACTTTCGAAACAATTTAACAATTCTTTACTACTTGCTATGATCAAATATTTCTCTCAATAAGAAGCCTGATATGAATATGACATTTATCGGAATTTATGATTTCGCATAAAATTGGACATAAATATCCTTTCTTGTAATTTAGCCCAATATTTCGCTCAATATTTTTTATTTGTATCAGATGAAGTATAAAAATGGAATATTTCGGTAGACTCTATATGGTACATCACGCACATTTTAACATTTTCTAGAAATTATTACATATCTCATAAAAAGTGAAGGAGTGAGTCAATATAATCCATACCAGGAACGTTGGAATATTTATATCAAATTTTTAGGTCTGATACAAAATGGACAATATTGGCCCATTCCTTCGGAACCGGCTGCATGAGGGTCAAACGTTTGAATAATTGTAACACTAGTCAAATATATTTCGATTATTTAATCAAACATAGGCTGAGGGTATATATCTGTCGGCAATACCGACTGATACTTTTTAACTTGTTTTACAACTCATTTATATATAAAGATATCTCCACTTTAAAATAGTTTAGTTGCAATTTATTTTTTTAGCTTTCAACTATCTGGCTATTGCATGCGCTGGCAGTATTTTAAATCAGAGATATGTTGTAACGGCAGGACATTGTATTAGTGGAGGAATTCAGGAAACTGTCGGCATATTGTAAGTTTTAAATGAACCCATCCAAAAAAAGTTTAAAAAAATTCCGTTTTCTAAAATTTTGATAACATAGTCTTAATATTACATTAATTCCAGAGAATCTTTACGGGCTGGTGATCACAACGTCCAAACTTTTAAAGATTGCGATAAAGATGGCTATTGTATAGATCCATATCAGCGTCTTTTTATAGAACAGACGTGGGTACACGAGGATTTCTATGTGACTAAAAAACGAAAAATTTTCAATGACATTGCCTTGGTGAAAACCACAAAAGACATTGTGTATTCGAATTCGGTAGCACCCATATGTTTGCCCTTAGTTATGCCTGGGTTGGAACCACCGAAAAATGGTTCCAGACTCACTGTAGCCGGTTGGGGTAGCAGTAGAACGGGTAAAGGAATATGATAAACTTGTATTATATTTATTATACTACATTTTATTATATAATTATTGGTATAATATTTTTTATTTATTATAATTTAAATTATATGTCTTTTTAGCAAACTACACCGATGAGAAACGCATTGTGGATTTGATATGCTTGGATGATGAAAAGTGTAGAATACGCGATGAATTATCCCGTCTGTGTGTTGGCGGGGAAACGGGCAAGGATAGTTGTGACGGTGATTCAGGTGGTTCTTTAGCCCGTCGCACTAAGGACGGCTGGGTTCTTGAGGGAATTGTGTCATATGGTGTGGGATGTGGCGACGGAAAACCAGCGGTATATACAAGGGTTCGAACTTTTATCAACTGGATACGTGATCACTTGTTGGAAGTGTAATTATTACATTTTATATTTTTAGTTTTAAAGTAGAATAGAGAACAGTAGAATAAAAGAGATTAAAATAATTGTAAAAAAGCTAAAGTGAAGAAAAGTCAAAAGTCGGGCGGGGTCAACTATATGATATTTTTTATGGATATTTATAAGATATACACATAACAAATAAACGTTTATATTGGGAATTTATGTGAAATGGAACATGACAACTATAAAACTTTTTGGCATTAGAACAGCTACAATTTGACATAATTTTTCACAAAATTTGACGTAGGCATTTGTATCTCGTACTAAACAACATTGCTATAGATTGTATGATGATGACATCGAGAAGTCTTAAATTAAATAATATATTAAAATAAATATTAATAATTAGATATTTGGGAATCGAGTTTCACCAAATGTCGTATTAACTTCCATTACATAAATTCGTTGGAATGTGCAAAAATCCATCCAATTTGAACTGATATAATAAATTTGGTGTACAATAAATATGAAATCGGAGGAGGGTATATGTGGTTGGGGAGTGAATATTATGGACGTTAGGGACTTAAACACTAAATACTATGAACATATATATGACAGCTAAAACTATATCGGAACCGATTTTCACTAAACTTTAAGTACTTGCTTCTAAGATGAATTCGGTTGGATGTGCCGAAATCCACCCTATTTGGGTTTATATTACTCATGTGGTGCACAAAAAAATGAAATCGGATAATTTAATAGGGTGTGTCCTTGAGATCGGACAGTTATGTATAAATCTGATAAGAATATTATTTTATGGAGATCATCAAACGGAATGTCACAAACAAATGCACGAAGACATAATACCCCCCACGTAGGGTATAGGAACCCAGCAAAGCATGGGAGTTCCATGAGCCGAATAATCTTTTAAAACGTAATGTAAACAAACAACGTTTTGGATTACTATTACGTTGAAAATAATAATTTCTAATTTTTTTCATTTTTCTAATCTTGTCTGCCAAGGTAGAGATATATAGTTAAACGTAGGTGGTGACTAAACGTAGGCCTATAAAGTCCATTAACAATAAAATACTTCAAATTGGAAGATGTCTTCAACATACTTAAAATCTTAATGAATCGTTGTATTGGTGCTATGCTAAAACGTAATCCCATATCGATTTTTATACTCTAAGCCTTATGGCTTCAGAGAATATATATATTCGTGTGCTCCCGTACTAAATTAATTATAAAACTAAAAAAAGAGAGTATTGTCCAATTCGGTCTAAGAATCGGCTTTGCTCAGAAAGTACAAGAAGAAACAAGTAAAAAAGCTGTAAGTTCGGCCGGGCCGAACTTTTAATACCCTCCACCATTTGGTACAAATTAGGCAATTTCCAAAAAATAAAATCCGTTAAAAATTCTGTTAATATCTTAAGAATTCCGAATGCTTATACGACGACGTGGGCCTGCATAGGCAACTTTTGTCATAAGTTATTACAATATTTAAATGCGAAACTTGAAGAAAAATCTGTTTATAATGTAGCTAAAATTATCAAAATACCGAATATCGGGGGGTACCGTTATATGGGGGCTATACGAAGACGTGAAGCTGCACAGACAATTTTCTGGCATGGGCTGAAGTATCCATTATGACCTTCACATGCGAAATTTGAAACAATCCCGGTAAATAATGTCGCTAAAATCATCAAAATACCGAATATCGGGGGCTACGGTATATGGGGGCTATATGAAGACTTGGACCTATATGGCCCATTTTCTGTTTTATGCTGCAGTATATATTACGAACTTCAAATACCAAATTTGGAACGATTTCGCTAAATAATGTCGCTAAAATCATCAAAATACCGAATTTCGGGGGCTACCGTTATATGGGGGCTATATGAGGACGTGGACCTACATGGCTCATTTTTTGACTTAGGATTACGAATCCATTACGAACTTAAAATACCAAATTTGGAACGATTCCGTTAAATAATGTCGCTAAAATCATCAAAATACCGAGTATCGGGGGGTACCATTATATAGGGGCTATACGAAGACGTGGACCTACATAGATTATTTTCTGTCTTAGGCTGTAGTATCTATTACGAACTTCAAATACCAACTTTGAAACGATTCCGGTAAACAATGTCGCTAAAATCATCAAAATACCGAATATCGGGAGGTACCGTTATATGGGGGCTATATGATTTCTTGGACCTACATGGCCCATTTACGAACTTAACCTGCCTACTGGCAAAATATACATGTGTGCAAAATTTTAGCCTTCTATCTCTATTTGTTCGAAAGATAGCGTGATTACAACAGACAGACGGACAGACAGACGGACAGACAGACAGACACACAGACAAACAGACGGACATGGCTAAATCGTCTTAGAATTTTACGCTGATCAAGAATATATATACTTTGTTGGGTCTGACATGAGTATTTCAAGGAGTTACAAACGGAATGACAAAATTAATATACCCTCCATAGTATGGTGGAGGGTATAAAAATAGTAAATTTATCAAAATAAGGGGGAATCCTCCAAAATTATCAATCAGTCTTTTAGCCTAGTAAATTTGTCTAGCAACAAGTAAAACAACAGCTAAGATTGGCCCGACTAGACTTTTGATACCCTTCACAATTTGAAGGAACTTTGAAAATTAACAAGTAAAAAAGCTGTAAGTTCGGCCGGTCCGAACTTTTAATACCCTCCACCATTCGGTACAAATTTGACAATTTCCAAAAAAAAAATAAATAAATAAATAAAATCCGTTAAAAATTCTGTTAAAATCTTAAAAATACCGAATGCCTAGACGACGACGTTGACCTGCATAGGCAACTTTTGTCATAAGTTAAAAAATCTATTTATAATCATCAAAATACCGAATATAGGGGGTGCCGTTATATGGGGGCTATACAAAGACGTGGACCTGCACAGATAATTTTCTGCCATAGGTATCCATTACGAATTTAAAATGCTAAATTTGAAACAATTCCGGTGAATAATGCCGCTAAAGTCATCAAAATACCGAATATCGGGAGATACCGTTATATGGGGGCTATATGATAACCTTCTCTATTTGTTCGAAAGATAGCGTGATTACAACAGACAGACGGACAGACACACAGACAGACAGACGGACATGGCTAAATCGTCTTAGAATTTTACGCTGATCAAGAATATATAGACTTTGTTGGGTCTGCAATAGTTGGCTTTTGAAATTATGTCATATGACATTTGCCCAATATTTACGCACTTCGTCGTGCTGTTAGTTGTTGTGTTCTTTTTTACAGCTAAATATAATTCAATCGTCATCCAAAATGCTAGATTTTTTCCTTGCCCTTCTCTCTCTTCTCATTCAAATTTCCGTGTTGGTTTCAATTGTGTGATCAGGAAATTTTTTCTGTTTTTGGTTCATTTTAACCCCTAATATCTCCAAATTTTGACTCATCTATATGATTTGCAAGTTTACAAAGTTAGAAGTTCGGCTTCTGGGTCTTTTGGATTTTACCTGCAAGTTATTAATTCGAGATTTCGTGTCCTTTGGTTTCTATTTGTGACCTTTATAGCGGCAGCAAAATCTAGAAAATTTTTAGTTGTTGGTCCATTTCAACTCCTAAATATATTGCGGACATCTTTAAAAACAATAGGCCTAGCCCTACCCTTGTGAAAATTTTCGTGAGGATCGGACGATTTTGACTTTTACTTAACATGACCATGACCCGATGACCATCAAATTTGGAAGACTTCTTCCCAGCCCTAAGTTCTAGCTCCATGCTAACTTCTATAATTGCGACCTGTATAGCAACTTCAAAATCAGGAAATTTTTAAGTTTTTGGTATTATGAGATCATCTCCAAAAGCAATAGGCTTCTATTCTGGGCCTAGCCCCACCTCCATTCTAAATTTCGTAAAGATGGGGCCATAATTGCGACCTGTAGAGGATTACAAATTAACATGGACAGACGGACGACGGACATACATAGCTAGATCGGCTCAGCTCGGCGAGATGGGAAGATCCATATATACTTTCCTTTGTGGGAAACCAATATTTCGAGGTTTTATATAAGTGTTGGCCCAATCAAACATATAATACCCCCAACACATAGTATTGTAGGGTATAAAAACTGTATATAAAACTAAAAACCTCATATTCATCGAATTCTTAAACTTGGCTCAAAAGAATATTTAAAAAAGTAAAAAAAAACGTTAATTTCAGCCCTCCACCATAACCTAAAGAAAACATTTATATGTATAAGCGTCTGTATTCGAAGGTATTTCACTTTAAGCCACAAATACCAGCAAGATTGGTTGGAGAATACGGAAAAGTTTCAAAAAAAAAAAAAAAAATGGGTGGATCCGTTATATGGGGGACATACTAAAACGAGAACCTATGTATGTAAACAATTTATACCAGTAAGATTGCGAGCCTTCAATACCGAATTTAAAACAATTCCGTGGGTAAGGTGATTAGGATTATCAAAATACCGAATATCGGTGGGTACCGCTATATGGAAACAGTGGACAATGTGTTGAAAACGGCTTTAGAGTCTATTACGAGCTACAAACACTTATTTTGAAACAAATCCGTAGAGAAATGTGGCTATAACAATCAAAATACATAATATCGAGATGTACCGTTAAATGGGGGATATACGAAAACGTGGACCTATATGTATATACAATGTTCCGCTACCGGAGCTAGAACCCATACGAACTACAAATACAACTATTTAAAGAAATCCGTTGAAAATGTGGATAAAACCGAAATATCGAATATCTGAAGGTACCGTTAAATGGGTACCCTCCTTCAAAAAGTGGAATTTTTTTTCAAAGTATGCATATCCCTATTTTTTGTCCATATTTAAGAAAGTTTGAAAATAGATTACATTGGTCAAATCTTTCTGGTACTTTCTTCACAACATTAATAAAAATTCTTAAATAATGCATATATGAGTCATATAAAACGAATCGTATACAATTTATATCATAATCAGGTCAGGAGCAAACATATCCTCCAAACATCTCATCCTTTTCACTTTCTTTCCCAAAAAATTTGCAGATATAATATTATTATAAGCCAAATCC